ATAGAATTTCCCCAAAAAAAAAAAAAAAAAAAAAAAACAGAGAAGAAAGAGGATTCCATACCTTACACGGCTGAAGAAAGAGGATTCCATTTTTTTACTTCCTGTGAAGCTCACCTACAAAGCAAAAAATAAAAACATCAAGAGAAAAAAATTTGAATTCAAAAAATGCAGTAAGAAAAAAAATCTTTACTTATTTATTTAATTAGTCTTTCTTGTTTTAACTGTGAAAGTAGAAAAAAAAATGGAGAACTGACCTTTTTAATCTTGTAGCCGTCAAGTACTAAAACAAACCATTGGAGAAGCAGCTTTAGCAAATATGTCTGCAAGATAAAAAGGAAACTTTGTTATTTTACACTCAAAGATCTAAGGAAATTTTCAAGATACTTAAAGAATCCATCAGCCACAAACCAAAGACTGTCCTAATTCATTTTGCTTCATTATTCTATATCTCTTGTGTCTAAAGCATTTTTTAACAAGCCATGACAACAAGCTACTTCAGTAAAAGAGAAACCAGATGCTTTACCTTCCAAAAAAAGTCTCTGATGTTCTTTGAGTAGATGTTGCTCTCACCACAACATGGCTGAATAAATCTTTGCAGATTTGAGTTGTTGTTGTCGGGTTCTCTGCTTGCTCACTCGTTGATGTCTTCAGCTTCTTCTTGGACTCGTCATTGAGCTCTCAGACAGTCACTTGGCAGTGCTATATCCAAAGGTCAAAAGCCTGTAATGACCGTAAGCCCAATTTAAGTTTCTTGTGTATCCCAAAATATTGGCTAAGATCTATCCAGCAATAAGATCTCCAAACTGGCTAGTGAATTTTGTTCCTATGCAGCCCTTGACTAATCCTAGAACCGTTGCACCTGCAATATAAACATTTTTCTATCAGTAAACATGAGTAATTCCCAAGATCAGGAATGAAAAGTCTTTTACCCTGACAGAAAATATCAAAGAGGAAGAAGGAAGGACTTACGGTCATTAACATGGATTGACATGGCAATCTTGTCAAGAACAGCGATGGCATCCTCCAGAGCCTTATTATAAGCTGCAGTGAAGAAAACATTGTTCAAAACATTATTCAAATGAAGAACAAGTAAAAAACTACAACACTGTGGAACTGTAGCAAATCATTAGGCAAGTATACCTCGGCATATGACTGTGGGATGGTAACTCTTTTCAATGAATGCTTCGGCAACATGTAGCATTTCACCAGCTGTTTGGACAATAAGAAATGAGTAAGTAAAAGCAGGAGAACAGATGCATATATCACTTTTGAGGAGTATCAATCCACAATACAACGTCACAGCAGTGCTTAGTACGCTGCTTCAAAATCAAACCAAGTGCAGATAATAGTGTCAATCAGATGTAATGTACATACCAAGAGGAATAACAGATGTAGTAGTCCCATCACCCACTTCTTCGTCCTGTGTCCTGTGTCCTGTGTGCGGCTCAGCTCAGTCATAGACTACAACCAACACAGAGAGAAGAAAAACATATCAGGAAAAAAACAACAATGAGAAGACAACAATAACGTTAAAAAAAAGAGAGAGAGAAGAAGTAAGAGCTTAGCTGCAGGGTGAGCAACATGGATCTAGTTCACGCAAAAGAGCATATTCCCATCATTGGTAACAACAATTCCTGTAAAGAGGCATAAACAAAGAGGTTAAAAACACACATAACCATAGAAGAAGAGAAAAAAAAACCAAACAAATAGTAAAACTCAGAAATAATACTTATGGTATATACATAACAAACTCAGAAAGTGAAGCAGAATAGTTTAGAGAAAGAGAGAATTACAAATATGTAAAGACTGCAAGAGGCATAAACCTTGAACCTAATCTAGGCACCTAAGTCAGAGAGTGAAAGAGAATAGGTTAGACAAAGAGAGAGGTACAAATCTGTAAAGGATGAATGTTTCAAAAGGCATAAATTTTAAGCGTCGTCTCTTATAAGATGTATAGAGAAGAGTAAAGAGTAATAAGAAGAAGCAAAGTACCTCCAGCAGCATCAAGAAGCATGAGCGAGAGGAGCCAGGGATGATATCAGGCACAGCCTGTAATAATCAAAACCCAGAAACATAGTGAAAATAATGAATGAAGTAAAAACTAAAGGAAAAGACACTTTATTATTATTACCTTGGAGCGGAGGAGGCTTGAATGTTGTTAGCGTGGTGAACCTTTGGTTCAGATTCACGCTTCAAAGAGTCCTCTGAAACATTGCAGTAAAAGCATTATTAGAACGTGGAAACAAAAACCTAATAGAGAGAGATTTAAAGAGACGAGATCTGAAGGAACTTACTGAGAACGAGAGAACCGGAGCGTTGATGTTGTGCTAGAAGACGGCGACGGAGCAGATTCGAGAAGCGGAAGAATGGTATTATTTACTTGGCGGCTCTCACTCTCACTCTCTTTTAGTCTTTTTAAAGCCAAGCCGGCTCAGGCTCAGCTCAGAGAGAGTGTGAATTTATAGGCGAAAAGAGAATATCCAGCAACGGCTACTTGCGATGATTTGACTACTCACTGACTCCCTTCGGCATCGGCATGGCGTATAATAGAAGAAGACGCAGCAGAACCCACCCGGTTCCATTAATGGGCCTTATTTTCAATTTGGGCCGACAAAGATAAGCCTGATGATGGACACTTGAGGGAGAGAGAGAGAGCGGTTTCTGTATGCTTAAATTCTCCTTTTCTTCAACTTGACTTGCAGGGAGGGAGTGAAATAGATGTTGACAGTGGGCAACCTAAATTCCGCATCTCTCCTGTCGCAGTGGGGAACTCCACTCCAGTCGTGAGTCTTGTTCTCTATGGAACTTTTGCAGATGATATTTGATCCTTGTACTTGTTAATATATGTCCTATGATTTTTGGGGTGTGCGAGATTATCCTAATACAACAAGATTATTGAGTTCATCAAAGGTAAATATCAGCATGGATCTTTCTTGATTGAAATGGTCCAATTTGAATGCTGGCGAACGATCTTGAGTGGGACCAGAAGCGTATAAAAACAGTTGTTCATTCTGATTTTGGTCATTTTTCCTTTTTCCTTTCACCAGCTGATACAGGGGCCTGAAAGTGTTGAATCGAAGTCGCCTTTGAATGGAGCGACTATCAATTCTCAAATGTGAGCACATCGCTACTTTTGTTGCACAAGACAAGAGGTTATAATTTTCTGTTGATACTGCTTTTTGTGACCCTTGATTCGCTTATTACCTTTCTAACAAAAGCAGTTCCAGTCAGCTGGAAGATGCATCAAACGAGAAGCAAACTTGTGTGGAAAAAATATGTATGTGCTCTCTCTTATGTCTGGGGGTGGCATCTTACTCTTGAACCCTTAATAATCTAGGGAATAGTGTGCTCAGAATGATTTGCTACTTGTAAGTATTCTCATTCGACTGATGATACTGTATATACATAAGGGATTGTTATGTTTGGGTACCAGAAAAAGCACGGTTACAAGCAAGGAAGCTAGAAGAAAAGCTGAGGTGGAAGCTGCAGCTGAAGCTGCAAGTGAGGCAAAGAGGAAACTGGAACTTGAAAGAGAAGCAGCCCGCAAAGCCTTGCTTGAGGTAAAAAAAAAGAAGCTAGCTACGAATGTTGGTTGTTATGGAAAGACGGAATGAAATATTAATAATGATAATGGGTGAACAGACGGTCGAAATAAACGACAACTCAAGGTTTCTCAAGGACTTGGAACTGCTGAAAACAGCAACAACAACAAAGGAGCAATCGAGAATAACATGAGAGGAGGAAGAGGATGGGTTGGGTGTTTTGGGGTTTGGAGGCATCAATCCTCTAGAGCAGCTGGGGCTACACGACAGATGAGGATGACCAAGAAACTGAGCCGATGGTTGCTTTGCCACATCATCTTGGCATAAATGAACAAGTGGAGGAGGGGGAAATCGATTGATTTGGAGAGTCCGTTGTGTCTTAGTGGTGGTGCCTAACAGTTTGGTAGGTAACGAATTTAAGTCTAACAAACCGGAAGAAAGAGCATAATCTTGTACAATACAACAACTGAAATTTCGTGGAATCCAACCAACTGAGAAACACACACAATCAGTGAATAGACACACACATTGCTGAATGAAATGAAGAAACATTGCATCATTCACCGTTTCGTAATTTATGTGATGGTGCAGTTGGAGTTTGGTAGACTTTTATTGTTGATCTGATATATTAATTTAACGAGTCCTCCGATAGGTGCAATGATCATCAGTACAACCCCAAGAATTATGCAACTCTGAGAACAACAACAATCAAGAAAAAATTAATCACACCTTTCTTTCTCTCTTGCTTTCTTTATATTACCTACTATTATTTATTTTATTATAAACACGGGGTTAACTTGAGTAAGAGAACGCAAACACATACCCAGTTGATACACCATGATAGACTAAATCTATCTGGTTTCTTCAGGATCAACCATATGATGCAAGGGATCTAAAACACAAACAAACAGAGATTGTTTAACTCTTCTAAATCATCATCATAACAAGAATAGCAAAGTATTTATTTCTTGGGACTTACAAAGTATGTGGTTGGGGCAAACACGAATCCTCCAAAAAATGATAGCAACGCGCTGAAATACGGTAGTCCCACTGCAATACCCATTGTGGCAGCTGCGACCATGTTTTAATATAAATTTTAGAGGACCAACACCAACGTATATACATATATATGATTAATGAGGTAATATATATATTCCTTATTTTATGATATTTGTGTGACTTTTACCCACAAATGTCCAGCGGATGCTAAACCTTAGAACCCTTGTTGGCCTGAAGTGCCATTTCCTTATCATTACAGATTCGATCATGTCAAACACTGGCATTGCGTACACCTTTTTTTAAAAAAAAAAAAGACAAAGACAAAACATAAAATTAGTTTTGCTACTACTAGTCTGTGTTTGGTTAACGATTATATACCTGGTAGCTTCCGAGGAGGTGTACGACCACAAACATGTTGGCAAGAATGATAAGTGCCTTGGGATCATGGAGAGATGTAAGTATGTTTTCTTCGACATTGTTCCCAAAGGTCTTAAACCCTATAAGAGCCACAGGGAAGTAGCAGAAAGCAACGATGAGATAGGCTACGATGGCTCCCTTCCACATGGGTCGTTTCGATGGATTCTCTGGTGTTGATGGGATCGTTGCTTGAATTTCTAAAACTACGTTATGACCTGCGTACGCAAAAGCCATCTCCCCCAATCCACCTATGAAGTCTAAAGGCACCGAGTTTGTTTTTGTTTTGTAACCGTACTCGACACTCTCTGGGGCTTCCCTTGCCAGTGAAGCTACCCAAGCAATCGTGGAATAGCTGTGCATGCATGCATGCGGAAAACATTCATTTGGTTGTTGTTTCACCCAATAAATAATAATCTCGGCCTTACCTTACAGACATGACGGCCGCTACCAAAGAGACACCGGAAATTGAGTTGAAGTTCTTCAGAAGGGAGAGCACAAACTGCGAAGAGGCAAATATCAAAATGAAGTGTCGGATTCTCAACTTTGTGCACTTGTCATCTCCCACAGAAAGTTGATGAACTTTTTTCAACGATTCGCCTCCTGTCACCATATAGATAATGCACGCACTGGTTTCAACAAGAAGTTGTAGGGGCACGATGATGTACAGACCAAGCTTCCTCCCAAAGGCTGCCTGACCCAGCTCATGGTACCTATCAAAACGTTGCCCTTCAAACATTTCGTGCATCTCAATCATTTGCCAAAGGGTGTATAACGTAATCACCCATGACAGGATCAGCACCACAGCCCCAGGTCCCCTGATAATTTTTAAGTATAATTAGTTAAGTTTATAATAGGAGTATATCCGGAGTTTACAAAAGAAAAATATGAGTTGGTGTGTTTGAAATTTCACTTGTGAGAAGAAGTAGAAGTTATGTACCATCCAAGCTCTGACATGGCGTAGGGAAGGCCAAGAACTCCAGCACCAACCATTGCAGTTACGTTGTGGAAAGCTGAATAGTACCAATTTGCATTTCTTGATGCTGTTATTGGAAGCCAATCTTCCAGATCAAATGATTGACCATCCTGCAAATCAAAGATTTTATCATTTTCACAACACATCAAGCATCAAAAACCAAACACCAAAACTAAGGTTTCTAAATAAATCATGATTATCATAAAAGAGAGCTTAATTACCTCCATATGATCTCGGTTTAGTGGACTTGGGGTCATTGCGAACACACAAACTTTAGGAATGTTGTTGTGACTTGTGAGGCAATAGTTGTGTTTATCTCCTTTCTATGTGGCTGGCTCCAAACCTTGTATAGAAGTTGACTTTGACCTATTAGAAGTGCCTTGAATGAACTTGTGTTCCTGCTTGACTTTTCTTTTTCTTTTTTTGTTTGTTTGAAATTACCAGGAAATATACTTATAGTGTTGTTCAACTCTTTTCTAGTTCGTATTAGAAATAGTCTTTGATTGGGATACAAGTCCATAAATAATGATCCAATGTAATTGTTTTAAAATTGATGTCACTATTGGACAGTTTCTAAAATTCTAAATTATTGTTTTTATATACAATATAAAAATCTAAGACTCTTGGACCACATTATTATTTTGTCATTGCTGCACTTCTTCTTGGGGTCAACGGATCCCCTTGAGGATTCTACGATTGAAATTAGCTGGAACATTAGAGTACGAGGGAGACATGCATATTATTAGTTATTTCACATCAAACTCACTCAACCGGCAAGGAGTTCTCTAGACAGACTGCTTTGATGTTACAAACAAAAAATGGCAGGTAGTTTAGCTTTCGGAAACAAAATTAGGTAACATTAGAAGAAGAAACTACTTAGAAACAATCACAAGTAGTTTTGTAACAGAAAACAAGATGAAGAGAGCTACTCACAGGACAAGTAACAAGCAATAATGCAAGAGCCAAAGGGACATAACGAAGCACGCTTTAGCCTTAAGTTATCTCTTGACCAGTTCATCTTTTGTATCCTGAAGAGATTAAAAAGGGACATGTACTACAAAAAAGGTTAAGATGAAGCAGCAAATTTTTTTATTTTTTTTGGACAAAGAAGCAGCAAATTAAATTGGGAAAACTTAACCAAAAAAACTATTAGGCTTTGAAAATGGGTACCCAAAGCAAAGCATGATGATAGATAAACTCAGTTACGGCTACACAGTAAAAAGAGTAAGAAGCAACATCTATGGAAAGTAAAAAGAAACATATAATTAGTTCTTGGCCTTGATGGAGTTGTTCTCCTTGATTATGGCTCGGGTCGGATGTCGACAAGCTTCACAAAACGTTTGAGATCATCATAGGGAAGAGTCTCAACGTCACTAAAAGCTGGTCGGTTATGGAGAAGACGCCAGAGCCAGTACGGGTAATCAGAGTCGGGAGAAATCTTGGGATCAGATCCATCTTTGAGAGTGTTGGTAGTGGATTTGATCTCTTTGCTCAGAGTGGATCCTTTCTTGGCTTTACCAGCTGCTGCAAACGTTCTCCGGACCACATCCTTGGCAAATCAATCCTTGGATACGGTGGTGGTTCATTTTGCTGAGCCAACTAAAATCATCGGAAAAGAAAAAAAAAAGGTTTTGTCAATCGGAAAGCTAACTTAGTTGGGCCGGAGCTGGGCCCTAATATTTCTTTATTTTGACTATTGGGCCGAAAACATAATATATTTAGGAGGCCCGGCAGCCATCTCCCATCTTTAGAGAAGAAGATTTTAGCCTTTTTAGTAATGACGAGAGCCCAAATCGTGTGATAAAAAGTTTAAAAAAAAAAAAAAAGGGTAAACCGTACATCCAAGTCTAGATAGAAAGACTCAAAACATTCTATTTACACTTCCATGCAGATGTTGAAAAAGCAGGCTTCACATGCAGAATTTTATGTCTATGGGATACATAATTTTGTAACTCAAAAATGCGTTATTTAAGACAAAGGAAACCTAAGAGAAATTTAACTCAGAAAACAAATGCAGTTTTATTGTACTTCAAATAAAGTGGCTTTACTTAAAAGAAATGAAAGAGAAAAGGAAAAAAACGCTGGCAACCCGCAAATCCAGAGTCGTACTCGTATGTGAAAGGGCCACTAATACACATGTTGATGGTCCTCCTCTTCCGCGAACGCACTCTCTCTGTACAGAGTAAAACCAAGAGCCTTTTGACCAAAGATCACTATTGTTTAGTAGCCAAGGTGTACTCCTACTTCAATCCGAATAATATATTCTATATATAGTTCAAATCTAAACATTTTGACCTAATCAAAGTGTAATATAGAATTGAGCTGCCATAAACAAAAAGTCTGGTTTGAAACAAATAAAAGTAATAGTGCCAATGTGTCAGAGAATTATGCTTGATTTGTTGGTCACTGTGTTTGTACGGTGCAGTTTAGAAAGTAAACAAGGGTTTGTGTAGTGGCAGTAAAAATTAGAAGGGACACTCCGAAAAAAATTTAAAAATTTAAACAAATACAAAATTAATCAAAAACATGTATATATATTGTAGGTATAATCGCATGCCGCAGTCGTAGTAGCTAAGGAAGACTCGGCCTCATCTGACAAATGTTACACAAATATGATTCCGTCGTCCAAGTTTTTTAAAAATAAACTTAGAGAGAGAAGAAGAAGAATCCGACGGCGGCGACAGTTCCGGCGATGGAGAGCTTCACACTAGTTACGGCGCCGCTTTGGGGTGACTCGGCGGTGGGTGCATCAGAAGATGGTCCATCGGCGGAGGTGCTTTCGGGGGTAGGAGCAGGTGGGGAGGAGACGGTGGGTCCCTCGGCAGAGTCAGTGGGGGCTGCCGAGTAATCATCTTCGGGGGTTGGTTCCTCTGCGACAGGGGACGACGCTTTAGGTGCGGCGGCGGAGGAGGACTTGGGTGCGGAGGCCGGAGCCTTGCTTTGGGTGGTGGGTGCTTTGGTCGGAGAAGCAGTGGGTGCAGCTGAAGGTGCGTCGTTGGCAGCGAATGCGGTGGCCACAGCCAAAGCCAAAAGGGCAAAAACGATAAATTGACGTGCCATTTTTGTAAAGATTAATAGTGAGGTGTTCCAAAACTAAAGCAGTATTTATTTATCTTCTTAATACTGCAAAAGCTTTAGATGAAGAAAATAAGAATACAATGAGAGATATTTATATGCTTTTGAGATGAGATTTATTAGGAAAATCGATGGATTTGAGAGAAAAATGGAGATTTAATTAATTGCCTTATTTTAGTTTTTTTTTTTCTTGTATTTGTAGCAAAACTAAATATATCCTATAATTGGAATACATGTGAAAAAAACTGGACGTGGTGGACAATAACATGTGATGTGGGATGAGAGGTTAGTAATTTTGATAAAAGCATTGGTCATGTAATTAGAGCATCTTTATTTAGAGATTTTTAAAGATTGATTTTCAAATTTTTATAAGATCTACTAATTATTTAATTATTTTTTTAAAAAGATTTTCCTTAAGAATCACCATTACTGGTGCTCCAAAATGTATGTTAAGGTATTTCATGAGGATTCCATTAAACAAAATGGAATCTAGAAATATTAAAAAGAGGGAAAACCAAAAAATTATTTTAAAGTGGGGAAGAAAATGAAGGGAATAATATATATATATAAAACCATTCAAGAAATAGTAAAATACTTTATTATTGAGAATTTATTTAGGAATAAATCAACGAAACATGGTCCATAAAGGCCAAACCAGACACACGGACAGGCCAAATATCTAGACAAAGACTGAGATTATTGATACAAATAAAGGAAATGAGAATTCCAAATTTGAAGTAAAGAAATAGAAGGGCGAAGAGGGTAGTATAGCTTTTCTTTGTAATTATCTAGAAGTTGTAGTTCTCGTCTTGGTCAAGGAGCTTCTCATCGTGACAACAAGCGAAGCTTATGTACTTCTCCATGGGGCGGTGGCACTCGAAGCAGTTCATCTTCTCTGGAATCCGACCGCTGCGAGCAGTGATGTGGAAATCAAAGTGGGCGCATGGATGTCCGGTTTCCCTGAGAACCTCGTCATGGTGGTGGTCGTACATTGCCTTGGTGTAGCCTTTGGTAGGGACGTGAGTTTTCCAGGTTCGGTCGTAGACGGTCACAGTCCTCTCAATGACACCGTGCGTTATCATAACTATCTCAGCTCCTTTGCTCAGCAGTGCCCATCCTCCAAGCTTGTCGTAGCTTAGTATCTTCTTGATTCCTTGCATCACCTAAAAATTTGATTGATAGACCCACAAATTTAAAACATGCCAGCCAACCCCTACTAGTCTACTGGATCATGTTTCATATTGTTTTACTATACGTACGTACCTCATCATGATCATCGGATTTACCGAGTTGAATCTTGGAGTAAAGCATGCTCTCGAGCCTAGCCCAGAAGAACCACATCAAGGCAGGCTCGGCCCAGCTATGGCTCAGGTTTTCAGCCCTGACAGCTTCACTGATGCGCCTGAACTGTTCCCTGTGGCTGTGGTTACGTTTACCAACATAAGCCATCTCCAGCTTCACGTTGGAATCTTTGGCCGTTGCTTTGGCTGCCATTGTGAACCTCCTTATCCAGTCCAAATCATCTCCTCCGTACAAGAATATGTAATTTTCCGGGTTTATCTGTAATTGTAAATCAAACCAGACCCATATTATTTAGATCGTATTCAAAAGTGGAAAGTTTCCATATATATCTTTACATTACCCAGTTGAAAATGACAGCGTCGATGCCATCGACGATGAGGTTAAGGGTAAAGGTCTCCCTCCTCCAGAGCTCCTCCTCACGAGCTCTGGTGAAAGGGAAAGCTTCAGTCCCCCAAATCCAGATCATGTGAAGTGCATTGAGACTAGCCTCGTTGCCTTGTGGGTCAAGCACCACAAGTATTGGCTTGTTCATGAAATGCCACCTTTCTCTCATAAACTCCACCACATATCTCTCTACCAGCTTCGGACTGTCCACTGTGTACCATGGCATAGGTGCACGGAGAGCCTCAAATTTCTTCTGCAGATTCGGTGATCTTTCATAATCTTCGATAGGATCCACTATTGGAACCCACACAACCTCGTACGGCATATGGCTCTTACCATCTACTCCCAACAAGCTGCTCCTCGATTCTGTGTATATTTGCTCGAAAATCGATAGCTCGTCTTGCAATATGTTGAGGTCAGAGATTAGCAGCAGCACTGTCTTCCTCCTCAACACATCCAGGTGAACCTACAATTAATATTCTCTTACTATTTTAATTTTGATTGTTTGAGCAGTTTTACATGCATGAACGGGCTTTAATAAAAGAAATTTAGAAACCTTTCGCTTGGTCAAACCATCTTGCAATGGCATGATGTGGTTTTTGGGATGAATCAAGGCCGTGAGAATCTTCATGTTATCAATGTGAGTTGTGTCGAATAGAGAATGCAACATCTTTAGGGATTCCCTGCTCCTCTCCTTCTCTGTTAAATATGATCACTCTTTATTTGTCAGTAAATGGAAAGAAAGAGAGATATCGATCGGGTGTGTTGATTTGAGACCGTACTACAAACCTATATGACGGTAGCAAAGCCTCAAGGTCTCAGCGAGATGGTCATGAATGTTCTTGAGCTTGTTAGCTAACATTGACGTTTCCCATGAATCCATTTGAGTGTTCATCATCCTGGTATTGTAAAATTAATTAATATTGTTATTGAGGCACAACTCAAATAGATAAAAGATATATAATAAATCGCACTCGTGTCCCATGGCAGTGATCATGTTGATCTGAGAAATGCAAGCCACGATGCTTCTTATGGTCCAATAGACAGCGATTGGGATGGTAGAGATGATTCTCGACAGCTGAGGATCGTCCAGTGTAATGTAGCGACCAGGTAACTCACTGAGTTCCACTACGCATGCGGTGACGCTCTTCATCTCACGGATGAGATCATTGAGCCCATGGGATACAGACTCTAGGGTCACTCTGTTCTGAACAGGGACGAGCTTTAGCATAGCTAGGGATTTAGCCAGCTGATTCTTTGAGTAGAACTGAACCAGAAGCCAGAATTCTCCATAGTTCAAGGCGAACGCCGCTAGAGTCAGGACCAGCTTGCCGTCCCAGTGGAAGCTCGAGAGGTGTTCGAACACTGACATTGTTATTTCATGTGCGTCTGATCCCGTCAGAGACTTGTAGGCTATCTGCAAGAAGACAGTGCAGCTTAATCTATTTCTTGTTTCACAAGTTATTTCGTGGCCAAAAAAAAAAAGATTAGGCTTTCCCAATCCAAATTAAACCAAAAGCAGAATTTAGAGATACGGAAAGAAAGCAAAACCAGGGGTCACCTCGCAGGCGACGCGATCGATAGCATATGAGACGCAATCAAGAACGCTCATCATGCTTGATTGCATTAGTTTATCATCCGTAGGCAATGGAAGCATCTGCGAATTAATTCAAACAAGTGCTTAATACTTTATATCATACGAAATTATGAACCGTGTTATATATTATAAGTACACTAACGGAGGCGTTGGAGTCGTCGGAGTCAAGAGTGGCACGATCGAGAATATCTTCAACGAGAGAGAGAAGGCCACGCACTTGGACCTCACGAGCATCAGGGGAGTGTGTTTGTTGGATCAGCTTCAGCATCATGCTCTCGTCTGATGACATCGTTAGTCCCGTCGTCGCCGGTATAATCTCCGTCCCTGGAGTTTTACCACTGTGGCCCGCCTGTTTCTGCTGAGCGTGCTGGGACTTGATCAGTGACTCCATCCTTGGTTGGGTTGCTTGCTTGCGAAGAAGAGCTAGCTAGGGAGTTTTGAGGTGGTGTGTGTTATGTGAAATCAACTACTAGCCTTTAAATAGTCCATTTTTCCAAATTGGGAATCAACTACTTTGCTTCGGCAACAATTAAATTATATCTACAAGTTAATAAACCAAAATTACTTTCTTTCTTTTTTTGGTAGCTTACTTTAGAAGAATGATTTTAGCTATAGCAACCGTCCACGTGAATGTCGTTACTATAAAGTAGTATTAACCTAAACTATGCCATGTATTAGATTTTTACTACATCTGATTTTTTCTGTTTCTAGTTACATTAATTCACCTAAGCTTTTGTGTGTTTATCGCGATTCATACTGAGGAAATATGTATCCAGAGCGATCAATTTACACTTTAATATAATACTATTACTACGATTGATTTTATAAACTATCACCACCTTTGATCGTTTAGTCCCCATATATATTAATACTAGGATAAGACCCACGTCTTGCGCGGGATGAAGCTATTATTTTTATTATGTTTTGAAAAATGAAACAATAGTTCGGTTTCATTCGGATTATAGGTGCTCAATCTGGATATCGGGTTTCGGTTCGGCTCAATTTTTTGTCCGATTTTTTGGTATTTCGATCATTAAAATATAACTACTATTCTAAATCTATATGTACTACAGTTTAATTTAGTTTATATACCATCGGTTTTCAGTTTATTCAATTTTATACCAAAAAACAGAATTATTTAGTTTGAGATCATATTATATATTATACAAATATATAATATGATCATATTTAGAGTCATATTGCCACAGGGTCATTTATTAAAAAAATATTATATATTTAAATAAAAGAAAAAAATAAAAAAGGCTTTTATCATCTAATAAAATGATCAAATCTAGAATTAATATCAAAACATTAAATTTTGAAGAAAAAAAAACAGAAGCATGAAAGAAAAGTTTTTATATTCTTCCATATTTAGTGTTCATCAAACCAATATGTCTTTGATTGAACACAACTCTGTTTGTTTAAAGATTAAAAAAAATTGTAAAGAATTTCAACTAACTGTTGTCCATCAAATTTATAATA